CCYYCCCCTACATGGAAACCCACAGTGGGACACTTAAGGTGAAGTCCCCGAAACTAAACAAGAGTAAGCCAAGAGCCAACCACAGAATACATCAGATTGTTTAAGGCGATATGAAGGACCACAGAGAGACCACCAAGTTACCTTGACTACTGTCACCATTCTGACACATTTTCCTAAATCCAAAGGGAGCACTGACCATGACAGTACACACCCCCATATGATAACCTTGTCCCTGGGAATTTCAGTCAATCCTGGGCTCACTGACAAACCCCACTTTGGGGATTCTATGCTTTTTCCTCACCCCAGAGCTCAGAGTCCAGGGTAGACCCAGGCTGAGGGTGGCCTCCACCTGACCAGGTAGGATGGTCAGCAGGAAAGGGGAACCAAAAACAGGGGCCACTCACCGTGGAGATGGCAAACAGGGAGTTATCGAAGGACATGTCTGAAAAAGAAAGGAAAACCAGGATTGGAGCCAGTTTTCACTGTGCACCGCCCTAATCCTCTCACCTCTGCTCACATTCCCCAGTTCAAAGTCTATGGAGGGGCAAGGGTAGGACCCATCTCCCAGCAACCTCTCCCACTTCCTTCCCACCCATTCTGCAAGTGAGCAGTGAATCTAAACTACATTTTGAACCATGCCTCTGTCCCCAAGCCTTCTGTCAACTCCCACCTTTCAGAAGGAGCACTTATCAGCCCACGCACTCCCCAGCCCACCCCCATTGCTAGATGGCCCTCCTTGTCACCCAGGTATGCCATGCTTCTCTTAAACACTCCTCTCTGCTTAAACATGGCTTCCTCCAGGGGCTGCCTGCCTTTTCCCAGTTGGCTCGGACAGGCCATCTGCTCTTTCCCCAATGGAGTCTGGGCTGTCTATCTTGGTCATCATAGTAGGCGCTCAATAAACGTGTCATGCAGTTAATCAAGCATAGAGAATGAAGTTTTCTGCGCTTGGGCCCCTTTCAGAGAGCATCGCACATCACAGACCAGCTGGTCCGCAGGGCAAGCAGGCCATTCACTGAAGACCCTCGGGACCCAGGCTTAGGCGGTCCTTCCCGGTGGAGCTGGCCATTTAGCAGTGGAAGCAAGCATCCAGAGATTACTTTTTTTTTTTTTTTCGGTGTTGGCAATGGAACCCAGGGCCTCTCGCAGGCTGGGTAAGCACTCTAGCATTGAAACTCAGACCCCGAAGATGATGTCATTGGGTTTCTACCAGGGGTAAGAACAACAAGGTAGTAGAGGCAGGTAAGTAGCAAGCACAGACCCTGTCTAGAGAGCCTGGTGACCAAGAGGAGGTGACTGAGACCCAGGAGATGGAGAATATTCTAGGCAGTGGGCGGAGCCAATGAAAGGCAGGCACCTGGGACCCGGAGAGAAAGTGAGAATCCAGGGAAAGGAGGGTGAGGGTGTGTTTTGACCCTAACAGGGAACAAACAGCTGCAGAAAAGGTTCAAGTCACCATAGCATTTTGAAGCAGTGACCTCATCCTGTGGAGGTCAGGAGCAAGGAGCACAGACCTGAGGTGGTGAAGTTAATCTGGGCCCAACAGGATTCCTGTTCTCTGCAAAGAGATTCAGAAGAAAGGTTGCCTCATGAGACAGGAGGCTTCTGGAAAGTCCTAGACCCAAACCAGGCACAATACTGGGTCTTTGACCCCCTGCCCATCTACACATCCTACCCACAAAGTGACAAAGCAGTTAATGCCCTGATTTCCAGAGCTATCACCCTGTGCAACAGTCCTTGGCTGTCAAGAACCAGGCCCACTTCTAGTGCAATTTGGCACTGCACAACCCCAGCGGGATCCAGAATAGCACAACAATTCCTGGCAGCTGACTGTAAGGGGAAGACTAAGCCATTTGCTCTCTGTGTGACTAAGCACTGAGCCTCTGTCCTCTCATCTGTAAAATGGGGTTATTCATTCTTCCTACTTCCAGGGCTGTGAGGATAAGGTGGGATCACTTCTAGCACAGTGCCCAACACCTAGTAGGTGCTTAACAAATACCACCTGTCTTTGTTCATCAACTCTCCCACCAGAGGGTGCTGTTTGCAATGGAAAGCCCACCCAGCCAAGGGAGTGCCCTTCTGATCCCAAACCATTCCATGAGGGTCCCTAGGGATGGTCTTACCGTTTTCTCTGTAAATTTTTTATTTTCACTGAAAAATAAATAAACAAGCATTTGTTAGATTATGGTTCTGATTGCACCAAACAAGTTTCTACACCCAAGAAATCTAAAACTCCTTTTTACCTTTGTAACCCAGTCTTGCCTCTCTGTGGCAAATTTGTGAAACTTACTGCTAACAAACACTTTTGTTTCTTTTTTCTAGATGGGGTCTCACGGTTGCCCGTATAGTCACCTCCAACTCACCATTCTCCTGCCTCAGTCTCCTGAGTAGCTGAGTCACATGTTCACCATGCCTGAATCCCTTTTTTTTTTTTTTTTAAATTCTTCAATTACAATAGTAATGTATGTTGATAAAAACTTTAAGCAAAGGGCTGGGTCTGTGGCTCAGTGGAAGAGTGCTTGCCTAGAATGTGTGAGGCACTGGGTTCAATTCTCAGCACCACATATAGATAAATTAATAAAATAAAGGTGCATCGACATTTAAGAAAAATTTTAAAAAATAAAGAAAGAATAGGAAAATAAAGTATTTAAAAAAACTTCAAGCAAGGCACATCATGTGACATTGTTTTTCTTAAAAGAAATGGGGATGCACACCTTTAATTGAACTGATTTGGGAGGCTGAGGCAGAAGGATTTCAAGTTTGAGGCCAGCCTGGTCAACTTAGCAAGGACCTGTCTCAGAGTTATATATATATATATATATATACACACACATTTGGTACCAGGGACTGAATCTAGTGTTTAACCACTGAGCCACATCCCCAACCTTTTTAATATTATTTAGAGACAGGGTCTTGCTGAGTTGCTTAGGGCCTTAATAAGTTGTTGAGGCTGACTTTGAACTTGTGATTCTCCTGCCTCAGCCTCCTGAGCCACGGGTATGTGTGTGTATGTGTGTTTGAGTTGCTATAAATATATTTGAGTTTCAGTGGTTGCCAGGAGCTGAAGCTGGAGGTGGAGAGAATGGGAAATTATTGCTTAATGCGGATAGAGTTTCAGTTTGAGATGATGAAAAAGTTCTAGAGATGGATGGGGGTGATGGTTGCACAATAATGTGAATGTACTGAATTGCTATGGAGATTTTACCACAGTCAAAATATCATGGCTATGCGACTAGGTGCACATCTGTAAGCCCAGCAACTCAGAGGGCTGAGACAGGAGGATCACAAGTTTGAGGCCAACCTGGGCAATTGTTTATTTACTTATTAGTTGTCAATGGGCCTTTACTTTATTTTATTAATTTATTTATATGTGATGTTAAGCACTGAACCCAGTGCCTCACACGTGCTAGGCAGATGCTCTACCACTGAGCCACAACCCCAGCAGCCCCTGGACAACTTACTGATGTCTCTAAATAAAAGTCTAAATGGGGCTGAGGTAGTGGAACATCTCGGGGGTCAATCCCCAGTACATATGTACACTCAAGTTGTTCCAGTACCTGTGGGAATTGATTCCAGGAACCCCCAAAATATATTAAAATCCATGGATGCTCAGGTTCCTTATATAAAATGTGACTAGGTTATTCACACCCTCTGTAGACTTATTCTACATTTAAATTTTTTTTGTAGTTGTAGATGGACAGAATGCCTTTATTTTTTAATTATTATTATTTTTTTTTATGTGGTGCTGAGGATCGAACCCATTGCCTCATGCATGCTAGGCAAGTGTGCTGCCGTTGAGCTACAGCCCCGCCCTCATTTTACATTTTTATTTATTTTCGATACATCATAATTCTGTTTGCAGGTAACTGTTTGATCAGTCTCATTCCCCAGTTCCTTTCTTTTCCCTTTTTTCCTCTCTCCCCCTACCTGCTTGCTCGAATCTACTGATCTCCTTTTTATTATTACTATTATTATTTTAATTAGTGCATAAGAATTGCATACATATAAGTAGGATTCACTGTGGTATTTCATACATGGATGTAGCATAATTTGTAGATTTCATTCCCTGTACTTCCCCTTGTCCTCCCTTCCTCCCTCCCTCTTGATGATCTTCCTCATACTCTACTGGTCTCCCTTCTATTTCTCCTACAGACTTCAAATCATCTCCAGATGCCTTATTTTCTATATTTTTTTTGGTACTGGGGATTAAACCCAGGGGCACTTAACTATTGAGACACATCCCAGTCCCTTATATTTGTAAATTTTGAGACAGGGTCTCACTCAGTTGCTTAGAGGCTTGCTAATTGCTGAGGCTGGTCTTGAACTTGCAATCCTCCTGCCTCAGCCTCCCAAGTCACTGGGATTATAGGCATGCACCAAAACCACACCTGGCTCTAGATGACTTACAATACCTAATAAAATGTATACACAATAAAAAGAATTGTTACACTGAGAATAATGACAAGAAAAAAGAGTCTGCACGTGTTCACAAAGATGCCAAATGTTCCCCTTTTGCAGTGCTGGGGATGGAGCCCAGGGCCCTGCACATGGAAAGCACCTGATCTGCGGTTGGGCTGCACCACTGCCCCTAAACACAAATTTTCCCTTCAAATCTTTTCAATCCATTATGGGTTGAGTCTGCAGATATGGAATCCAGGATATTGAATCTGTCGATAGGGAGGACCCATTGGACAAAGCCATTCTACATAAGGGACTTGAACATCCATGGTTTGGGGTATCCATAGAGGAACCTGGAAACAATCTCAAGAACAGTCGTGCATCGGTTTGCCCTGCTCACCACCAACATCTCTCCTATGGACAGTTCCTTCACTGCTAATTTGCAGAATTTAGACCTCCCCAAATGGCCTGTCTCTGTGCGTGTCTCTGTGCCATGTGCTTACGGGCACATACATGGGTATGTGCCCGTAAGCACATGGCACATTCAGAGTTGCCAGCCGGGGCCCTGTCTTCTTTAAGCACTCTCACCTCTCCTGACCACCACAGCCAAAGCAGCCAGACCAGTGAGGAGCAGGAGGGCTCCAGCCAGGCTCAGCGAGAGGGCCAGGATCCAGGTGGGCACTAGAGGAAACAGGAAGAGAGCAAGTGGGCAGGTCAGGAGCTCTCCAGGCTCTGTCATCTCTCCAGGCTACTTTGAGGTGCCAGCCCTCTGCAAGAGGACCTCCTCCAACCATGAGATTTGGGTGTAGCTGGACCCTGGGAATCAGCCAATTGGCATATATCTGGCCAATGCGCATTAGCATATTTCCTCCCCCTGTCCCTGTGATTGGTTCAGACCTGGAGTGTGGCCCAAGCCAAGACAATGAAAGGTAATCCTGGGATTTTGCAGGGCCACTGAGAGAAAAGGATTATTCCTTTGGCTTGTATTGTATCCCTCTGATTGGAGATTTCTCTGGGGCTTCTGGGCATGATTTCGCTACCATGATGTTGGGGACCTGCCTGAAAATAAACCTAGAACAAAGCCAAGTTGAGAGGTGGCAAATAATTCCTGACAACTTCAGGCTTCTGGATTCAGCCGCGCCTGAAGCCCTAATATGAACTGACTTCAGTTCAGTAAACCAACGAAATCTCCCTTGGTTTCTGAAGCCAGTGTGAGTCAGGTTTTCAGTTACTTGCCACCTGAAGAGCCCTGCTTGTCCTGGCTATGAAGGGGTCAGTTGACATCCACCCCAAGCCACACGGAGATTCACACAGAGGTCAGCGGCCTGGAAACAGAAGCCAAGTAAAAGACTCAGCTTCCCTCCTGGAAGAGAGAGAGGATCTCTTGAGGACCCTGGGAGAAGGTCCCCTGACCCCAGTGGAGGTCGGGAGCTGTGGAGCCGGGAGGGGAAGGAAAGATGTACCGGGGAGATTCCAACAGTGGTAGGCCTTGTCCATTCATTCACCTGGGTGGGAGGGCTGTTGTCACCTCCCCACTCTCAGACCACAAGGCTAAGGTGAGAAAAGGGAGCCTTTGACAGAGGAGCTTGAGGCCAGAAAGGACACAGAGAACCCTCTGTCATCACAGCTCGAAGACTGGCTGGTAACAAGTTCCTCTTTGCAGTGGGAAAGTCCTGGTGATGGTGGGATGGAGACACTCCCTCCTCCCTCTGCCCCCTCCCCTGCCCCCCAGTCTCCCCGCCCCTCCCCATCTCCCCGAGGGGTGGGGGGCTTGCTGGGAATTGAGCCTAGGGCTTGTGCATGCCAGGAAAACACTCTACCACTGAGCTACCTCCTTAGCCCCATCCCTTGGCCTCTTGATCCACAACCCGTGCCCAACCCCCTTTCCTGGAAAGACCACTCAGATGGAAAGCTGAAGTCCTTGCTGCAGCCCACTAAGCTCTACGTGATCCTTCTCACCACCTCTCTTCCCTCCTCTCCCCACACATTCTTCCTTGTTCACTGTACTTAAGCCATTCTGGGGTCCTCTGTGCTTCTCAAACACACAAGGTATGCTTCAGCCTCAGGGCCTTTGCACAGCCTATTTCCTCTTCTTGCTATACTCTTGCCATAGAAATCCACATGGCTGGCTCCTTCTCATCATTCAGATCTTTCTTTTCTTTTTTTCCAATATGGGGTCTCATGATATCACCTCACCTGGCCCCAAACTCCTCAATTGAAGTGATCCTCCTGCTTCAGCTTCCCAAGTAGCTGGAACTACAGGCAAGCCCTACCACAACCGACTTTATTCAGATCTTTTCTCCAAATAACCTCTTCAGACAGGTCCTCCTTGGTCACTCTACTCTCCCCTTAAAATGACACCTTCACCAGGCTGTGTATCATCCTTGGGCACTTCATTGGCACACTGAATATTTATTGGATCCTGGGTTTATCATCTGTCCCACCCCCTGGGAACATCTGTCGAAGGAGGTCAGGAACATTGTTTTGCTCCCTGCTGGACCTCCAGTGATACGGAGAGACTCTGATGCACAGTTGATGAGCAAATATGTTGGGTCCAGGAAGGGGAAGGTGTGCTGGACGGTGGAGATTTTTTTTTTTCACTGCTGAGCATGGAACGCAGGACTCCCGTGTGCTAGGCAGGTGCTCTGCCCCTGAGCTACTAGCACGGAGGCCCAAGGTCTGGAGTTTGAGGGGCTGCTGGCCTCCCAGCTCTGCTACCTGTGTGCCTTGGGCAAGTCCTTGTGCATCGTGTGCTTCTGTTTCTTATCTACAGAAAGAACAATCACTGCGCCCACCTTGGAGGGAAGCTATGAGAACAGACAGGGAAAGGTGAGTGACCCCTGGCCAGTGGTAGGCCTGGCCTTCCTGTGAAGACCTCCCAGGAGAGGGAACAGCATCTGCTGCAGCTGGGTGAGCCCAGGGGAGGGCTTACCTGGGAAGGAGACGTGCAGCGGCTGGCTGAGGTCCGACAGCTGGGGCTGGCTGTGCTCGCCCACCACACTGTACTGGCACCAGAATTTCCCTCCAGAAGCCGTGCCACCGCTGCTCAGGTTGAATGTGACCCCCAGCTGGTTGGCCGGGGCCTGCAGGAGCTGGACAATCTGTCCCTCTCGGTACAGCGTGAAATTCACCCCCAGGAAGTCCTTGGGGGCTGTGCATGAGATGTGGATGGGGTCCTCTTGGCTCTTTGGGTAGGGGGGCACCAAGAAGATGGCTGGTGCTGGGATGGCCAAGGAACCTGCAATGCAGGATCAGGGGAGGTGGCAGTGTGGGTGCATGGTTGGAGAGCACTGTGTGATCTCTAGCAAGCAGGTCACTTCTCTGGACCTTGTTTTGTTTTCATTTTGGTTCTGGTGCTGGGGACCCAACCCAGGCCTTGTGCATGCTTAGCCTGTACTCTACCACTGAGCTGTACCCCCAGGCCTTGGGCCTTGTTTTTTTGGGCACCAGGAGGCGGGCAATCTCTCCCCATTGCAATGTTCAGAGCACTGGGTGCCTGGCGCATCACGGGGGTCACAGTGGTTGAGTCTTTTGTAATGATGGCCTTGGTTATTATATAGTGTCCCAAGTACACTACTTCAATCAGCCATGCTACGCACCAGGCCCTGTTCAAGGTGTTGGGGACAAAGTAATGAAGGAGACAAATGAAGAGACATGCTCGTCTCAGGCAGCTGATGTTCTTTCAAAGAGACCAAGAGTTCTAGGCAATGGGAGAGTTGCTTGGGCTAGAGGGCTTCCTGGAAGAGGTGTCATGTGAGTTGAGTTGTAGCAATGAAAGAGTGGCATGAGCTGGGTGACAGCCTCGAAGGCCAAGGTAATGGTGAGGGCAAAGGCCCAGAGGATGGTTGGACATGGGGTGAGTTTAAGGGTTTAATGGGGGTACCATTCAGTGGTAGAGCACTTGCCTACCACACGCAAGGCCCTGGGTACTGTCCTTAGTGGAAGGAAGGAAGGAAGGAAGGAAGGAAGGAAGGAAGGAAGGAAGGAAGGAAGGAAGGAAGGAAAGGTGAGGAAGCGGGTGGCTGGGGGGGAGTTGAGCAAGGGAGAAAGCAGCAGCAAATGGGGGGAGGTCCCACCTTCTCCCCAGGGTGTGCCGAGGAGTGGGGCTGGACTGGGGCTCCTGCAGAGGAAGCCGCACCCAGGGAGGAGTTGCTCTCCAGCTGCCCACAGGCCCCCAAGCAGAGTGGCCCCCCATGGCCCCTGTGGCTAGTCTGCCCCCAGGCAGGCGCTCCTGCTGCCCCAACTCCTGCTGTCAAAGGCAGGAGCCTGTGGAGGCCAAGCGGGGGCGAGGCAGGGGCTATAGGCAGCTCTCTTGACTGGGACACGAGGAGGAGCCTAAGAAGAAAAGGCTGAGAGGTTTCTAAGGCTCTCAAGCAAATCAGTCCAGGATGAGCCTCCTCCAGCACCGCGGAGGAGCAACCTCACTTGGGATCTGTCCTCAGAGCAGTGACATGGGCAGGAGACGGGGGAGCAGGCTGGGGGTGCCGGAGGGGCCGTCAGACTCACCAGCTGCAAAAAGCAGGACAGTCCAAGGCATCTCTCCTCCCGCGTTTGGCCAGGAAATCTGGCTGGGACCAGAGGGTCCAGGGCTCCCCGCCAGCTCCTCCTGTGAGGCCAGAGCAGGGAAAGGAGAACCAGGGCTAATTCGGGCTGAATGTTTCCTCAGTGGCAGGAAGTTGCACACACACTCAGGCACTGAAAGGGACTCTCTCTTCTCCCCACCCCTTCCCTAAATGCACAGCACAGCGGACCCAGCCCTGTGCAGTTCTGTAGATTGGAGGGAGCGTGACTGAGATAGTGAGGAATTTGTTTTTTCCCTCCCTCCACCTAAGAGAACCCCCTTGCCCAAGGAAGGGTGGCAGCAGGGGCTACTTGGGAAACTCATGCCCAAGGTAGAAACCACAGCCCAAGCAATAGCAAGACGGAAATAAATGTGGGGTGCAATGTGGTAGGGCATGGTGGTTAGGGTTTGGCCTCTGACTGCAGGTGAGGGCTGACTTCTCTGAAGCTTCAGTTTGCTGCCCTGTCGGATGGGGCTAAGATGAGTGGACATCAGATTCAAAGAACTCATGGCATAAGACAATGCTAGGGGGCAGTGGGTGCTCCCAGTCGGCATCTACAGGGAGAAGGCTCTGGGCTTCACCAACCAGGGAAAAAGTAACATTTGTCTAGAATTGAGGAAATGGCATAGTTTGCAGGATTTATTGCCTCCTGTTTACAGCCCAGAAACTTCTAAGTTTCTGTCTTATGGGTAGATGTGCTTTGGTCTTGCTATATGTTTTTATTTAAGCCAAACAGCTCCAGCTCCACACTGAGAAGGAGGCAGCATATGGTCACCAAAAGACAAAAAAAAAACATTAGAATGGACTTTTTCCTATGGATACACAAAGCTCATCCCAGCCCCAGGGTATTTGCACTTGTTGTTTTCCTTACCACAATTCTCTCAACCAGGTGGAATACCACTTTTCCTTCAGGTCTCAGCTTAAATATCACTTCTAGAAAACCATTCCAAGCTCCTCTGGACTCTTCCCTTATTGAATTTTTCTATAGTGCCCTGTGATCTTTGTTTGTGCAATTGCATTTTTAAAATTAATTAATTAATTTATTTATTTTGTGTGTATGTTAGTTACTGGGGATTGAAACCGGGGATGCTATACACTGAGTTATATCCCAAGCCTTTCTTCTTCTTCTTCTTCTTTTTTTTTTTTTTTGATACCAAGGACTGACCCCAGGGATGCTTAACCATTGAATCACTTTTTAATATTTTATCGATTTATCCCCAGCCCTTTAAAATAATTTAAATTGTATATGGACACAATACTTTTATTTTTATGTGGTCCTGAGGATCAAATCCCGTGCCTCACATACACTAGGCAAACTCTCTACCACTGAGCCATATCCCCAGCCCTTTTTTATACTTTATTTAGAGATAGCATCTCACTGAGTTGCTTAAGGCCTTGCTAAATTACTGAGGCTGGCTTAGAACTTTCAATCTTCCTGACTCGGCCTTCTTAGACCCTGGGGATTACAGGAGTACATCAAGGTGCCTGGCTTCTCTTCTTGATTGTCTTGCTAGGGGTTAATTTTGTTCTTCATTTCAAAGAACTAACTTTTGACTTTTTTCTCCCTCTATTTTCTATAATTTGGGGGGGGGGGCTTACCTTTAATCTCTTCTGCCTTTTACTTATCTTGTGTTTAACTGGCATATTCTTCTTTTTTTTTTTTTCAGAGAGAGAGAGAATTTTAATATTTATTTTTTAGTTTTTGGCGGACACAACATCTTTGTTGGTATGTGGTGCTGAGGATTGAACCCGGGCCGCATGCATGCCAGGTGGGTGCGCTACTGCTTGAGCCACATCCCCAGCCCACTGGCATATTCTTAATATGTAAGTTTAGGTTATTTGTCTTTTAACTTTTCTTTATGCTTTTCTAAATATTTTTTTAGTTGTAGATGGACACATGCCTTTATTTTATTTGTTATTATATTTTTTACAGTGCTGAGGGTAGAATCCAGTGCCCTACATGTGCAGAGTTGCTCTACAACTGAAACATAACCCCAGCCCTTAAAACTTTTCTTTGAACATTTTTTATTTTATTTATTTTTTTAAAGAGAGAGAGAGATAGAGAGAGAGAGAGAGAGAGAGAGAGAGAGAGAGAGAATCTTTTAATATTTATTTTTTAGTTTTCGGCGGACACAACATCTTTGTTGGTATGTGGTGCTGAGGATCGAATCCCGGCCACACGCATGCCAGGCGAGCGCGCTACCACTTGAGCCACATCCCCAGCCCCAACATTTTTGATTTTAGTACCAGAAACTGAACCCCAGGGTGCTTAACCACTGAGCCACATCCCCAACCCTTTTTTAAAAAAATTTTATTTTGAGACAGGGTCTAACTAAGTTGCTGAGACTGCCATTGAACTTGTGATCCTCCTGTCTCAGCTTCCAGAGCTACTGGGATAACAGACATGGGCCATTGCACCCAGATAAAAACTTTTGTTCTAAAGCATTTAAAGCTATACATTGCTCTCTAAAGCACTGCTTAACTTCACCTCACACATCTTTATATACTGTGCTTCGATGTCATTATTAAATATTCATGTTTCCTTTTTGAATTTTTCTATGACCCAAAGACTAATTGGGAGTACGCAGTTTACTTTTCAAACATTTGGGCTTTTTTGGTAGCTTGAATGTTAGTGATTTCTAATTCCTATGTGGTCAAAGAATATAATCCATATATTTCAATCCTTTGAAATTTATTAACACTTTTTAATGGTCTAGCAACCATATCTTGATTCACATTGGATGTGTAATAGAAATGAAACTGTATTCTGCAGTAATTTGGAGTAACATCAATTATTATTCCAATTATATCAGTTATCTGCAATTATCAATTACATCAGGCCACTGTGGGTCAAGAACATTCCTGAATTTGTTGACTTCATCCTGATTTTTTCTCTCTCTCTCTTTTTTTTTTTTTTTAGGTGTGGGGAGATACCAGAGATTGAACTCGGTACACTCAACCACTGAGCCACATTCCCAGCCCTTTTTTGTATTTTATAAGAGATAAGGTCTCACTAAATTGCTTAGCACCTTGATCTTGCTGAGGCTGACTTTGAACTCGACATCCTCCTGCCTCAGCCTCCCAAACTGCTGGGATTACAGGTGTGCACCACCCTGCCTGGCTATCCTGATTTCTTTAAAAAGTTTTCTTCCTCCAGGAGTGCAGAGTTACAGTCTGTGATGTCACCTGCAGTGTCTATAAAGCTTGGCACACAGTGAACCATAAATATTTCTCCATTGTCTGACCTAAAACTTGTAAATCACCCATTCAGTCCATTTGTTTTTGTGACTTTATGCTGGGTGCATAGAAGATGGAGTTAAGAAAGACTTCTCATTTACTTATTCCTCCAGCTATTTATCAAGGGTCACTAAAAGCCCAGAATTGTGCTGGGTGCCGGATATGTTGGGATAAGTGAAATAGCTCCTGTCCTCAAGGAGCTCAGAAGTCAGTGAGTCAGATAAGTGAGGACAGCTGGCTAGGGACATAGCTCAGTTGGTAGAGTGCTTGCCTCGCATGCACAAGGCCCTGGGTTCAGTCCCCAGCACCACCAAAAATGTAAGTGAGGAGCTGATGAAGTGGTATTGCAGTGATGGTGAGGGAAGCTCACTCCAGCTTCAGAAGGTTCAAGGGAGGCTTCTGGCAGGAAGGAAGGGAATTCTAAGTAGAGCAAGTATCATGCATGAAGGGACTTGGATGTATGTAAAGGCTTCATCCTGGGAGCAGTTCCTATGGGGCTGGAATCAGCAACCTGGCATTTTTAATTCATTTGACTCTTGATGGATGATGCCCTCAAAAACCACAGAGGAGTGGGGCTTGGTGGCGCACACCTGTAATCCCAGTGGCTTAGGAGGCTGAGGCAGAAGGATGGTGAGTTCAAAGCCAGCCTCAGCAAAAGTGAGGCGCTAAACAACTCAGTGAGACCCTGTCTCTAAATAAAATACAAAATAGGGCTGGGATATGGCTCAGAGGTCGAGTGTCCCTGGATTCAATCCCTGGTACAAAAAAAAAACAAAAAAAAACAAAAACAAAAACAAAAAAACTACTGAGGAGTCATGGGCAGAGTGAAGGAAAAACAGGGATGGTGAGGGAACCTCAGGCCAGGGGGCTGTTACCACCTGTGGAACAGGAATTATGGAAATTAGTTTCAGAGCGCTTCCTAGAGGCTTCCTTCTCTGCTAGCACTCAGATAATCCACCAAGGCCAAGCTCAACTGCAGGTATAAAGGGGTAAAGCTGTCCTTATGTGTGGCTGTCAGCATCCTGGGGCACAGAGAAATGCGGGGGGGGGGGGKGTGAAGGGAGAACAGTGACTGCCACACACTCACAGAATCCTTGGGTTTTATCTCTGGGGATCACTGACTTCTGGAAGCCAGCCTGCAAATTCCTCGAGGTTCTAAGAAACACAGCAGGCTATGACTCTAGGCCAACCCTACAAAGTGAAGAAGGACCCTTGATGTGGCTCTGATGGGCTGTTTCCATCTCTTAACTGATGACTTGTCTCACCCTGGGAACTTCCCAAGTGCCTTCTGACCTCAGGGTCCTGTTCTCTCCCTTCCATGTCAAACCTCATCTTAAATCCCACTTCCTCAGGTAAGCCCTACTTGATGCCATCCAGCCTAAATTACCAACCCCATCACCATGTACCACCCAGCTTTTACTTCTTGGTGCCCATGGCTACCTGAAATCATGTTAGTGCTAAACTTGCTTGTCTGTTTTTTGTCTCCAAACTAAGACATCGGCATCGTGAGGACATGGACAGTGCTGGTTTAATTCAGTGTGAGATGCTCAGCTAGTGTTGGTTGACTAATTGGGGAGGGGGAGAGTCTCTGTTTGTGTTTAGTCAAGGGGCATGAATTACCCATGTAGATCCTAGAGGTCAGCAGGAATGGAAGAGTATCTCCAAGGGCCCACCCCATCACAGAAACAGTAAGACAACAAAAATGCTTGGAATCAACTTTGTCCGAACTCTGAAAAACAAAAGTTTAGGTAAGCTAGGTGAACGTTCAATCAAGAAAAAGACAACTTGAATGTGACAGGAAAGCTTCACCCCGTCTCCTTCCCCTGCACAGCAGAGATCTTGAAGGGAGCAACCTATGTTCCCAGTATGAGGCCTACTGGGAAGAATCCCCATTCTTCAAGTAAAGTGTCAAGTAAAGTGTCTGACTCAGGTGTCTGTTGAACTCAGAGTGCATTCCTGGTTGAAAGAGTCGCTCAGTGGTAGAGTGCTTGCCTAGCACGTGCCAGGTCCTGAGTTCAATCCCCAACACACACACACACACACACACACACACACACACACACACACACGAAAACAATGAACATGCATAAGAGACATGCGGTCAGGAAAAACCTAAGAGGCTAAACCCAGAAACTCAGGAGGCCGAGGGAGGAAAATTTCAAGTTCCAGGCCAGCCTGGGCAACATAGCAAAACACCGACTCAAAATAAAAAATAAAAAGGTTTGGGGATATATAGTTAGTGCCCCTGGATTCAATCCTCAGTATCTCGCATACATATATGCACACACAAACACACACAGACACACACATAAAAAAAGAAAGAAAAGGAAAGATAAAATAAAAAAAGAAAGAAAGAACAGATGAACCCAAAGGATCCTAAGAACTCATCTCTGGCTGATCTCTAGACCAACTGTGAACAAGAAGTGAAGGCTAAGATAGAGGCTAAATGCCCTTACTAATCACTGGAGTACTGCAGCACAGATTCACAAGGACTGAGAGTTTCTGTTTGTTCTTTCTTTTGTCTGCATAATAAACCAAAAAACTCTAGCAACTAACAACATCATAAGATTGGCAAGACATGAATAAATATTTCTCCAAAGAAGATACACAAATGACCAACACAGCCATGAAAAGATGCTCAACATCCTTAGTCATTAGGGAAACCAAAATTAGATCACTTACACCCATTAGGGTGATATAATAAAAATGAAACAGAAAATAACAAGTGTTGGTGAGGATGTGGAGAAATTTTGGAACCCTTAGATTCACAGAGTGGTTTTATTTCATTGAACAAACATTGTGGATTATTGAGTTTTTGAGATCATGTTCCAGGCAGGGCAGGGCCACAAAAGCCAGCAACCCCAGCAATTTGAGAGGTAGAAGCAGGAGGATCACAAGTTTAAGGCCAGTCTCAGCAATTTAATGAGACCCTGTCTTAAAATAAAAAATAAAAAGGGGGCTGGGTGAAGTGGTGCATGCCTGTAATCCCAGCAGTTTGGAGGCTGAGATAGGAGGATGGCGAGTTCAAAGCCAGACTCAGCAATTTAGCAAGGCCCTAAGCAACTCAATGACACTTTGTCTCTAAATAAAATACAAAAAAAAAAAAAAAAAAAAAAAAAAAAAAAAAAAAAGGGCTGGGATGTGGCTCAGTGGCCCTGGGTTCAATCCCTAGTACCAAAAAAAAAAAAAAAATAAGAAATGAGGGCTGGGAATGTAGCTTAGTGGTAGAGCACTTGCCTAGCATGCTTAAGGCCCCTGGTTTCTATCCTAGTACTGAAAACAAACCAACAAACAAAACACATTTCAGGCCAGGTATGTTGGTGTGCACTGCAGTGACCAGTGACAGCTACTGGGAAGGGATAAGGTAGGACGATCTCTTGAGCCCAGGAGTTTGAAGGCATCCTTGGCAACATAGCTAGACCCTGAATCAATAAAATAATCATGTTCCAATCACATATATGTTAGAAGGAATGGAAAAATGTAGCTACTGTAGAATATACTTAGGTAGTTCTTCAAAAAGTTCAACATACAATTACCATATGACCCAGCAATTCCACTTCTAGAAAGAAGATACTAAAAAATACTTATACATATGTTCACAACAGCATTATTCACCACAGCCAAAAGATGACACAACCCCAATGTCCATCAATGAATGAATGGATACACATTATGGTATACGCATACTATGGCATATGGCTCAGCCATGAAAAAGAAACATGCTATGTGAAAGAAGCTAGATACAAATGGTCACATTTTATATGATTCAATTTCTATGGACTTTCTAGAGTAGGTTAAATCCATAGAGGTAGAGGTGGTTGCCAGGGGCTGGGGTGAGGAGGAATGAGGAATAAGCACTTAAAGGACGTGGGGATTCTTCTTGATGAAATATACATCTTTTTTGGTGTGGGGATTGGATCCTGGCATGATTCCACTGAGATACATACTATTTTTGATTTTGAGATGTAGTCTCACTAAAGTGCTGAGGCTGGCCTCCTACATGCTTTTTTCCTCGGTCAGCCTCCTGAGACTGGGATTACAGGCATGCACCACTGCACCTGGGTATGATGAAAATATTTTGGAACTACATAGAAGTGACAGTTACACAACACGGTGAATCTATTAAATGCCACTGAATGTTCTCTTTAAAGTGGCTAATCTAATGTAATGTGAAGTGATGCTGGGGATTGAACCCAGGGCCTTTTGCATGTGAGGCAAGCACTCTACCAACTGAACTATATCCCCAGCCCTGAATTTTAGTGCATTTTTAAAGAATCCATTAAATAAAATAAAAAACAGGAATTACCTACTCTCTGCTGCTACTTTAAAATGTATAAGCAGTGCATCTAAATAAAAGAAAAAAATCTTGGCACTGAGAAAAGGAATAGTGTGTATATAAACTTTGACATTACAAATTGATGCTACTTCCTCATATTCCCCACATACAGGAAAGAGCTGACAACATCTAGCTTTACTTGAAGAGTAATTATCACCAGCTGCCAATCTCTTTCAGTCAGTCCATCATGGAAGACTAAAGATTTCCATTTAAACATCGTTGGTTTTTTTTTTTTTTTTTTTTTGAAACCAAGGGTGCTTTCCCACTGAGCCACATCCCCATTTTTTAAAAAATATTTATTTTTTAGTTGTAGTTGGACACAATATCTTTATCTTATTTATTTTTACCTGGTGCTGAGGATCGAACTCAGGGGTCCTGCTTGCGAGGCGAGCGCTCTACCACTGAACCACAACCCAACACTATCCCAAACCTTTTTGAGAGGATGCCTCATTAAGTTGCTTACAGCCTCCCTAAATTGCTGAGGCTGGCTTTTAAACTCAAGATCCTCCTGCTGGGATTACAGGTGTACGCTACCACACCTGGTGTTGAAAATATTTTATCAGCTGAGGCTGGCTTTGAACTAGTAATCCTCCTGCTTCAGCCTCCGGAGTCACTGGGATTTCAGGTGTGTGCCAGCATGCTTGGCTAACATTTTCTTCATATATTTAGAGGTAGATTCCGTTTGGCCTGATGACTTCCTTGGTGGCCTCCAGATTCTCTAAAGCCAGGCTGAAAGCGGTTAAACGACAGGCTGCTCAATGGAGGACAATAAACCAGGAACCAAGTAAAAATTATTCACTAGCTTAAAATTTGCCAAGCACTATAATGCAAAATAAGCACTTGGCAAGCACCATCTCTGTCCCCACAGCAGCCCAATGGGACAGCTATTATTCACAGCTGGGGTTATCATTACCCCCCTTTTGCAGACAAGAAAACTGAGGTTTAGCAGGTCGATCGCCTTAAGTGAAGGGTGGAGTGAGGTTTGAATTAGGCAATCTGGCTCCCAGGCCCATACTTTCACCTCTTCTCACCATGGCTGTGGTTTTCCTGACCCAGAGCCTTGAGTTTATGTGCGGGTCCTGTAGTTAAGACCCATGGGATGCAAACTGAAGCCACGTCGACTTGAAGCAAGGAAAGCCAAGCGCTCATTATGGTCAAACCTCCAACCTCCTTTCACTGAATTCTCACAGCCCTTCTAAGGGTTGGGCGCATCATAACCCCCAATTTAAAGACAAAATTGAAAGTTATGGCCTAAGGTGCAAACAGAATGGGAAGTGGGGCGTCAAATCTCGGGGGAGGCGGCCCATACTTAGTAACCAACAATAACATTAGAGGCTCAATAGTGAAGCCTCTATGCCCAGCCGCAACGAAGATAAGCGAGCCCTACGGGTCGCGCGCAGGAACATGTCAAGCAACCCGGGTCCGCTCTGTTCAGACTAGACTGACCAACGGTCGCGGCGCCGTGTACTCTGGGAAAACCTCAGCAAGGCGCTTTAGAAGGACCCGGGCCACCTCTACCTTAGTTGTCTTAACTAAGGCCTGCGAAATATGTGCCATCATGGCGCTTAGTTTTGTTATTCCCCATCCCGAACGACTGAGTCTACAGTTTTAGGCCTTTCAGAAAAAAAGTCTCTCGGTTGAGTCTTTTCACTCGCATATGGCATTTATCCGGACAGCTCCTCTCTCAGGGGGTCCTTCCCAGTTCCCTCAGCAGCTGTCAGTCAACACTAAGTGGCTACCAATGAGCTCCGCGAAGTAGCAGAGTGGGCAGGGCTATCCCTTAAAGGAGCCGTGACCCGTTTGCAGACCAGAGGGTGACCCGGATGATGGCGGCCGGCTCGGCCCTATTCCTGGCCCTGTGGCTGCTATTGCCGCCAGTGGGGGTGGGAGGGGCAGGGCCCCCACCGATCCAGGACGGTGAGTTCACGTTCTTGTTGCCTGCGGGGAGGAAGCAGTGCTTCTACCAGTCCGCGCCGGCCAATGCAAGCCTCGAGGCCGAGTACCAGGTAGAGGGTCCCGGACCCTGGAACTAGTGGGGGCCAGGGGAAGGGGGCGTGGCCAAGCAGCCAGGCAAGGCGTGCATTAAATCGGGAAGCGGGAGGAGCCATTGCATGACGCGGGGGCGGGGCTAGGAAGCGCTTAGCCGGACAGCGTGGCGCGTGGGAGCGGAAGGGGTGGGGATAATGAAGAAGGTGGGGCTACGGTGAGACTGCTGAGGGGGCGGGGCCAATAGGAAGTAAAGGAAGGCATTCAGGGCCGGACCGTCGCGAGTGGGCGTGGCCATATTATATGTAGACTAAAATAAAGGGAGTGGTCAACGTGAGGGTTTCTCGGGAGATTGATTTAAAGGAAAGCAAGGCCCTGGCATCTCAGTTGGAGCAGTGCCAAGTAAAGCCGGCGAGGTAAACATCGATCAAGGACTTTTGACGGGTATGGCCTGATGAAAAAATCCACCCTGAGGCTGTCAAATCAGTGAGGACTAAGGCAGGGCAAAGGGTGCAGCTAGAGGGGCAGTTGGGAGGCACGACCCGCTTGTAGGTATAGGTGTCAGCACTCAGGCCCTCGGTGGTCTATGTGCATCTGGGCAGGTTGATTCAGCCGGGAACGTGAGTTGTAGGTGCCCTTGGTGTACTCCTATTCTACCCATTCTTACCTGCCCCTTAGGTGATCGGAGGTGCTGGGCTGGATGTGGATTTCACGCTGGAGAGCCCTCAGGATGTGCTGTTGGTCAGCGAGTCCCGAAAGGCTGACGGGGTGCACACGTGAGTTAAGTCTTGCTCCCTGCCTGGGTTCAGTTACAGCCCTGCCCCTCCGTAGGGGCCTCGGGTTACTGCCCTACCTGCCCTAGAGTCCCTCTTGCTGGCACTAATGGTCGCGTCTGTGTGTCTGTCTGCCCAGTGTGGAGCCTACAGAGGCGGGGGACTACAAGCTGTGCTTTGACAACTCCTTCAGCACCATCTCCGAAAAGCTGGTGTTCTTCGAGCTCATCTTTGACAGCTTGCAAGACGATGAGGAGGTAGAGGGCTGGGCAGAGGCTGTGGAGCCAGAGGAGATGCTGGATGTCAAAATGGAGGACATCAAGGTGCGACCAGGCTGAGCTGGGCTGCGTTTTTTGGCATTTATCAGCAGAGTATTCTACTCTTTCTTGATTTGACTGGTGTCTCCCTCTTGGCCTGACTCTGACTCACCTACATAGTGCTGCCCCACCTTAATATTTTAACTTAATGTCAGTTTAAATAATAGCTCATTTCTACGAGTAAATGCTGTTCTAAGGCTAAATAATGCATAGTTATGTCACAAATAACTCATATATCAAGTCTCCAAACCACCTCATGAATTAGGGGCTGTGCTGTCTCCCCATATTATAGGTAGTAAAACTGAGACACAAAATGGTCAAGTAGCTCATACAAGACCACACAACTAGCCACTGTGAGAGCTGGCATTTGAACCCAGGCAGTGTGACTTCAATAATCTTTTTCCTTTTTGATATTGGAGATTGAGCCCAGGGGTGCTCTATCACTGAACTACGTCCCCAGCCCATTTTATTTTTTAAGATGGGATCTCCCTATGTTGCCGAGACTGGCAAGTTGAACTTGCAGTTTTCCTTCCTCAGCCTCCCAAACTTCTGGGATTACAGGAGTGTGACACTGTACCTGGGTGCAGCAAATATTCTGTTAATCACTAGTAAATATGTTCCATATACTTGTATCTAGACATTCAACTTTTTTTCTTTTTCTTTTCTTTTTATTTTTTGGTACTGGGAGTCCAACTGAGGATCTTAAGCATGCTAAGAAGGCACTCTACCACTGAGCCTTCTTCCATTGCCCTACAAATTCAACTTCCACAGTAATGCTGAGGTTAATAGAAGAGTGAACAGAGCTGGATGTGGTGGCATGTGCTTGTAATTTCAGCTACTTGAGGCTGATGCAACAGGATTGCAAGTTTGAGACCAGCCTCAGCAATTTTGCAAGACCCTGTCTCAAAATAAAAATGGCTGGGGATGTAGCTCAAAGTAGAGCACTCTTGAATTCAGTCTCCAATACCAAAGGTGGGGGCAGTGCAGAGAGTGAACTGAGGCCTTTAGGTTATTTAACTTGCTTATAGTCACACAGCCAGTGAGGGGCAGAGTGAGGATTCAGACTTAGGCAGTCTGGCCAAGTTGTGTGTCCCCAGTTCTCTTTCTTGCCCAACATGGCCTTGCTCTTTTCCTCATTTTATTGGAGGCCTGACTCTGTCCCTCACTCTGCAGGAATCCATCGAGATCATGAGGACCCGGCTGGAGCGCAGCATCCAGATGCTCACACTGCTGCGGGCCTTTGAGGCTCGGGACCGCAACCTGCAGGAAGGCAACCTGGAGCGGGTCAACTTCTGGTCAGCTGTCAATGTAGCAGTGCTGTTGCTGGTGGCCGTGCTGCAAGTCTGCACGCTCAAGCGCTTCTTCCAGGACAAGCACCCGGTACCCACGTAGCCCCTGCCCTGGAGGACAAACTGGAAAAAAGGGGCAGCCAGTGTGAATTGGGGTTTTTTCCCCATGTAGTTTCCTGCAGGAGGGGAGGCTGTGCAGTGAGCACCACAAGTGTGGCCCTGTGCATCTCCTTTCCTGGGTTGTGCAGAGAGCACCGCTGGCTTGCAAACCTGGGCCCCCTAAAGGGGCAGTTCAGCGTCTGCTTCTACTTTCCTGGAAATTGTGCATGGTGGGTGACGCAGCATTGGAATGCAACCCTTGGATTTCCTGGCCCTGCCTCCTGTAAATGTGCCTTAGCTCAAGTCTTCCAGCCTGCATCAGCACTACCCAGAGTGGGACAGGCCCAGGAAGCCAACTTCCCCGAGCCCCCATCTGGGCTCCCCAAGCCAGCTTGTGGTGGGAGGGTGCCTGCTACTTGTGGGACCCTAAGCCTTAGTTTTTCTCCTAGGCTGGGGGCGTCCTGCTCATGTCAGGGGTTGAAAAGGAGACAGGGCTGCAGATTTCTTGCCAGGATAGTCACTTTATTTGACAGGAAGAGGCCCTGGCCCCTCGGCCCAGCGGGGGGCCTGCTGAGTGTGAGGTCTGGTAACAGAACTCCAGGAGAGGGTCTGCAGGACCACCCACCCCTCCCTGTGCAAGGGGCCCAGACAAGGCTGAGGGGTGGTCTGGCCAAAGCCTGTGCAGGAGCCCCAAGGAACAAAGGGTGGTCCGGCCTGCATACTGGAGTCAATAAATTATGGTCAGAAAATCTCACAGAGCCTGGTGACTGGGGCTCAGGGACACCAGCTGGGACAGACCTGCCCCCAAGAGGGCAGCCAGGCAGGCGGGAGGGATCTCCCACGAAGCTCAGAAGAAAGGTCGGGCGGGAGCCGATGGAGGTGGTCGCCTGGGCACAAAAGAAAAATCAGAAAGCAAAGTTTAACTGTGTCCCGGGCTGGGCAAAAAGGCCTGGGTCCCCCAAGAGGGCAAGAGAGGGAGAAGAGGGACCTGGAGGGGTCAGACCATGCAGGGTCTGGGTAGCAGCTGGGATTCCTGTTCTACCTCAGCACTGGGTCACCTGCAGCAGCCAGGCGTGGGGCTGGGGGCTTGGGGGTGAGCGGGGAGTATCTGTTCTGATTCTGGGGTACTGAGGAAGGTGAAAGCTCTCCCTTGGTGTCAGGCTTCCTCCAGAAAATATGACTGCCCAAGAGCAGAGCAGAGCAGAGCAGAGCCCCTGCTAGGTGAGGTTTCAGGGCTCCTCATGGAAGGGAAAGGGGTCCCGGTGAGAGGCCCAGGAGAGGCTAGGCTACAACCTCAGCCTGAACACCGACACAAAAGGCCCACACAGCAGCCACCAGAAGGTTCTTCCCTTTATTTTAGTTTATTAATAGGATACAGAGTGCAGGCACTTACAGTGGTCAAACCCAGAAAGGAGTGAGCAAGAAGTTCTGCTCTGAGAGAGGTGCCTGGGGCCCGCCTGGTAGGAGGAGGCCTGACGGGAGCTGAGAGACTCCCAAAGCCTCCACAACCCACACAGAGCCCAAGCCCCCCTGAGGGTCCCAGAAGAAGGAGGGCACCCAGAGAGGAAAGAGTGAGGCTGGCCTGGGCTGAGAGTTCCAGGCCTGCTGAAGGCACCTCTGGCAGCCAAGCCCCGGCTGGGCTCAGGCTGGGCTCAGGCTGTGGTTAATATGGCCTAGGAAGGAATATGTACAACTTGGGCCCGGTGGGCAGTCCTGCGCCCACCGGGCCTGGCTTCTGCTGGGGAACTCCCAGTGAGAGAGGTGGAAATACTCCTTGTCCCACAAGGACTAGGGGATACAGATGCCCTTGGCACCCCGGCTTCCAGAAAGCCTGTTCCTATATGAATATCTCCGGCCAGAGAAGCTCCTGGCAGAGTCCCTGCTACCACAGCCGGGATCCCTCATTCGAGTTGGTATCCAAGGTGGTTACTCCTGCTGCCACCCTGAGACCCTACCCCGCAAAGTGCAGTGCCCTGGAACCCCCTTGCCTGGGGCTCCGGGGCCCCTTCATTCTAGTGTCCAGTCCAGAATGGGGGCCAGGCCAGCCCGGGACTGGGGCCAAGTTTAGGGAGGAAGAGGCAGGGGTTGCCCACGGGAGCCTGGTCCCAGAATAGGGGCAGGAGGGCCAGGGGCAGCAGAGGGGCCCAGACCACCGAAGCTCCTGCACCGCGGGTACGTGAGGACCCCCGAGGAAATGCCCCCTGTGTGGCCTAGTCGAGCAGGGAGGGCTCGGCTGGGCGGATAATGGTGGGCCGGCTGGGCGCAGCAGGGGGTCTTCTGCTGCAAAGAGAATAAAGACAGATGGGAAGGGGGAGAGGGTAGTGAGGCTAGAAGCAGGGCAACTATTGAGGACCCAGCCCACCCCAGCCCAGCCCACCCCAAGGTGTTCCCAGTAATGGGTACACCATAGACTGCTCAAGTACCAGGAGGGAGTTGACAAATCCTGGCATTTGTCTGTTGGTGTCATAGTCACTGGCTTGCTGTGTGACCCTGGGCATGTCCCCTGCCCTCCCTGGATCTCAGGTTCTTCACAGAAGTGGGAAGAACAGAGCTGGCCCACAGGGTGGGTGGGGGTGAGTGAAGCCTGCAATGGCTGGCGCGGGCATTTGTCCTCAGTAGGGAAACAGAGGTAAATGGTATTCACAGGCACCCAGGGCAAGGGGTGCCAAGCTACATGGTGGCCCGCTACTTAGGTCTAAAGGACGAGCCAAGAGCTCTGGAGTCACCCTGATTCTACCACTCTGACTCTGGGCAAAGGACTTGGCCTCTCTGGGCCTTCATTCCCCAGGATGGTGACAATTCTTCCACTCCCTGCTTAGAGCATGGCAGAAGATCTTTAGGAGGGAGGGAGTCAGATTCGAGAAGAGACCCCAGTGCGCAGGCTGGGGGCTCTACATGATAGGTAGCCAGCGGGGTCCAACCTTACCTGGGCACTCCAGGGGGTATCCCAGGGGGAATCCGTGCTGGCCGAGATGGGATCTGAGGTGGGGCTGAGAAGGGATCATTGTTGGCAAACACACTCTGAGGTCCAGGCCGAGATGGAATGGGGGGCGCTGAGAAGGAGCCTGCGACCCCCACAGGCACGGGAATCAAAGGTGGCCCTGGTGTGGGACCTCTCACTGCAGGGGGCCGGCCTGGCGGGTGCACGCTTGACACAGGTCGGCGCTGTGGAGTGGGGCTGTGAAGGAATGGGGAGAGGCTGTGAGGTGAAGTGGGGAGGTGTGAGCATCGGCCATGACAGTGTGGCACTGGGGGCCCAAACTCTGGGGGCTTCTGGCCACAGAGGCATCAAAGGTATAGGGAGATTCTCTGCCCTTCCCTAGACCTGCTCAGCAATGACTCTTCCCACCCACAGCTGGAGCCATGCCCCGGCGTTGCCTCCCCTCTGCCACCAAGGGCTCCGGCTTCCCTGATGTTATGCCTACACCCTAAAGGGCATTTACCACTTAGCAGCTCCCACTTGGACCCCCCGTGGCCTCTGAGCCACCCTCGTAGCCAAAGACCCTTCTAGAATCCAGTTGTACTGCCTCCAGATGCTGCAGAACCAGCAAGCCCCTACGTGGGCTCCCTGCTGAGCCTGGGCACCCATTTCTCCCCAGACCTGGAATCTGGGTTCTCTTTCTAAGGAACTCTGTGGTGCTGTAAGGTCTCAGCAGAGCAACTATCTTTCCTGTGTCCCTGCCTGGTATCCCCAAACCCCATGCAGATAGGTATTGGTTCTACTAACAGCTCTGCTGGTGGGGTATGCTGGTTAGGACCCCCCCCCCCCCCCCCCCCCCCCCCCCCCCCCCCCCCGCCTGCCTGTTTTCTTCTCTGTCCCAGGAGGCTAACCCCTATGGCCAGCATCACCCAGACCTCTTTCTCTCAGAAGGGCTTAACTAATAGAAAGCACCAGAAGGCAGAAAATCAGGAAAATGAGGAGTCAGGATTATATACATGCAGCTTCTACCCACTCCAGCCCTGACTGGCACCTTGAACCCACCTCTTCCCTTGTTTCTTCGGGCAGGACAGCAGCTCAGCCCTGGGTGTTGTGCCATCTAGGGTTGGGCCCCTTCACCCTTCCTACCCTTTCGTTGTGCCCCATTTCCTGCCAGGACCCTGAAGGATATGTGGATGGACCTGGGCACCCACAAGCAGCAGCTTCTGCTGCATGCAGGGGAAGAGTCTCCCAGACCTGTGGCTGCTGGTGCTCTGGAGCCAAGTATCGTCAACAGGTGGGGGCACGGGAGTGGACACAGTGCTGGTACTGATGTCCCCAATAATGTTGAGTGCCTCTTTGAGTGCATGGTACATGCGCAGCATGTCGTCCCGCCGCTGGGCCTGGTCGGCTGACTCTTCCATAAGGCTGCTCTGGTCTGCTGACGAGTATAGGTAGGCCAGCAGCTCGTGGTGAATGAAGGCCTTCGTCTGGAGACAAAGGTTGGGAGGTCATCACCCCAGCCAAGAACTCAGTGGCTCACCATGACTGAAAACCACCCTTTACCTAGAACAGAGATTCCTTTGGCTTTTTCCCCCCTTTTGCTTTCTGCAGTATTAGAAATTGAAACCAACACAAGCTGGGCAAACACTCTACCATTGGGCTGTATCCCCAGACCTTTTTGAGACTGGGTCTCACTAAGTTGTCCAGGCTGGCTTTGAACTTGTGACCCTCATGCTTAGCTAGGATTACAGGCATGCACCATGTGCTTAGCCTGGTTTTTCCTTTACACTGGAGTGCATAGCTGGAAGTGTGTCTGGTAAGCTTTCTATCCAGCTGTCTGCCGAGTCTCTCAGGGGTGCTTTCAAAATGCTCTTCCCACCTTCACAAGATTCTTGTTCAATTTATTTCTATTATTATTATTTTTTTGAAGTCCTGGGGGATGGAACCCAGGGCCTCATGCATGCTAGGCAAGTGCTCTACCACTGAATCATACCCCAAACCCTTATTGTAGTATCTTATCCCTCTGTATCTTTTCTCTCATCATACCTTTTCTTTGCATTTTTTTAATCAATTTTTTGTAGTTGTAGATGGACAGTATGC